GTCGATGTTAAGCCTAACAAAGACTATTGTATCGTTAAAAATTATTTTTTTATTTTGTACAAACAAAATAAATATATTGAAAAATATAAAAATAATAAAAAATTATACTTCAGATGTTAATTTAGTATCAAAAATGTAAAATATTTGAGTAGCCCAAGACATAGCCAAAGATTGAAGCGCCACAGCACTGGCGAAAATTTAAATTTGCCGACTGGAATTCTTTCGGATGATTGACTTTTGGAAAATCGACGCTCTACTGTACTTTATTTTTACTTAAATGAATATTAATTAACTCTTGATTGTAGGTGAAGCAACTGCAGATGGGCTTTCATGCACTGTGTCATCTTGATGTACTCCATTAATAGCTCATTGTATGAAGATCGTACTAGTATAACTATGTCCTTTGACTTGTCTGCACTATATACTAGCACAGTTCACTTATCAGTTCTATCAATAACTTTTCCCCTATGTATTTGTAATAAAAGAATATAAGCATTTCTGTAACTTATTTTGCTATTTACTTCTTTTTAACATATTATTTGATAAAATATACTATACTCAAGTAAAACAATAATTTGATTCTTTTTGTTATAAGTTGGTTTTATTTATAATACACTTAATTTTAAATTGTATTTTAAAAATTAACAAAACATTTTCAATAAATTTTCATTTGGAAGAAAATCAATTCTAATCCATAATAGATATAGATAAACTGTAAATGACAGACATCTTTCATTAAAATAAATTTACTTAAATATAAAAATATACATAAAATTATTTTAACTACTAACCTTATAGTAATTCCATACAACTGATGAATAAGCGCGGCCAACTGGATTCAATGTCTCTCGTTTTCCATCAACATATTGCGTAATATCAATGTTTTCAGAATAACACACTCTTCTCTTAGAAAAACAAACAAAATACATATATAATATTTAAATTATGAATTAACAAATAAATTAATAAAATTAAACTAGGACATTGCGTAACTTTGTCATATCACAATAGAATTGAGGCAGAGCCAGAAAGAAAGAAGCAATCCCTGCACTTGTTAGGAACAAAAGAGGCAATCCTTGCATTGGCCAGGTATGGAGAAATGCTCCTTATGCTTGCCGCCATGGAGAGGCAATCCAAGAACAAAGCAATCGATGCTTTGTTCTTGTGTTTTGTTTGTTTTTTGCACCTATTTTCCATTAGACATGCTCAGTCACATCAGAGAACATGAACATTGTCAGTTTAACTCTTCTGTATATTGAAAACATCTTAATCCCTAATTTTACATTTAAATGGACACTCATTACATTTTTTGGATTTCTCATCACAATTAATGAAAAATGACAAATTTTTATCAAAATCAGCCTATTAAATTTTGAGAACAAACTCAACTCTACAGCAAAGTCCATAGAACACATACTAGTGACCGTGAAACATCACACGACAAAGTCACACGATATGTGCAATATTGCTTTGTTGCATATGCTAGTAAAATAACTTTATATCTTGAAAACAAGATCATGGACCCCTATTTTTTATTGCGTTTTTGAATTCTTCATCACAATTAATGGAAAACGACAAAGTTTAATCAAAATCAATCAAACAGATTTTGAAAATGAACACAATTCTGTAAGCCTCATAGAAGAGGCTTCACTTACACTCTGCCTCAATAACAACAAATTTATGAAAAATTGACATTAAAATGTTGGATTCACAAGAAAAGTTTTGTAATAAAATGTTAATTTGATTAAAATGCAACTGCCAAATAACAGATTTAAACTGCTGACCTTTAAGAAACTGATCTAATATTAAGTCAGCTGAGCCAACACAGCCTGGCAGTTGCCAATGTATTTGATAATTTTAAATAGCGACAACAATAAGCTTATAGTTACATCATTTAGCAGAAAAGTCCATTACTATTAATTAATATTATAAACTTTCATTATTGCTATTATTTAAAATTTCCAAATTTAATTTCATATATAACTTGCTAAAAAACTTTTATTTTTTATAAAGATATAAAGAGAAATAAAATACTGTAAAATTCATATCCTATAAACAGAAAATGACTTTCTATAAAACAATTAATTTATATTATATATTATAAATATATAATTTATAAATTATTAATATGTATAATACATTAATAATGCTTATTGATTTAACTAATAAAATAAAAATAAAAAATAAGAATTCAATTTGATATAATTTATAGCAGTATAGACTTAACTAATTGCATGTTTTTACTGTTAAAAGCAAATTATACAAAATAATAAACTTACTTGTTTTAAAATTTTATCAAACTCTTCACAACTAAACAATTTATTATAATAATTTTCATTTTTTCTTCTTACAAGCAAAGGCTTTTTCTCCCATAAATCTCTAAATTGAAAATATAAATGGTATATATTATTTCTTATCTATGAAAAAACAAATAAACAAAAAACACCACAAATCTAATATAAATTAGTGACTAAATTTTTTCAAGAATGCAATGCAGACTTTCTTGAAAGATACATGAAAATAATTAAATATATATAATAAAATTATTTTAAAGAATTTTCGAACCTTCTTGTTTCATTATAACTAATGGTATTAATTTTTAATAATAAAAAAAATTACTTCAAATATTAAATTAATTTATTAAATATTCTCCATGTATTGAACTTATAAAACATAAAACAAAAAACTACCATTTAATGAAGAGTATTCTTATCAGACACTTTGAAAAAACAACTATACAGATAAAAATAAGTTACTATACAGATAAATACATAGAATAACTAAACTAAAATCCAATATTTAAATAATTTTTACAACTATTTTGCATTCAAACTTTAGAAATAAAATTTGTTTTTAATATAGTTTTAGAAATCAATAATATAAAATAAAACATTTTGAAAACTGATAGAATGCAAATTAAATAAATCCATATGTGAATTTTACTATTTTGGCAATATATAACATACGTAGGGGGACCCAAAAAAACTGGATTTTTTGTATAAAAACTTTATTTATTAACTTTTTTGCAGAATTCCTTCAGTCATCTTCCAAGTACTCTCCATTAGATGCAATGCACTTGTCAAGTCCTTTTCCCCACTGTTTGAAGAATCTCTGGAACTCTTCAAATTTGATATCGTCCAGTGCCCTTAGCAAAGCTGCTTTTACCGCCTCCACATCATCAAAACGCTTCCCTTTTAGATTTTTCTTCATTTTCAGAAACGGAAAAAAGTCGCACAGGGCTAGGTCTGGTGAATATGGAGGGTGGGGAACGACAGGCCATCCCCGAGAGGCCAAATAGTGGGTCACTCGTAAGGCGGTGTGTGCAGGGGCATTGTCGTGAAGAAAGAACCAGTCACCTGATCGCCAAAGTTCCGGGTGTTTTCTTCGCACATCCTCTCGCAGATGTCTTAAAACATTTTTGGCAGATTTTTTCAATGTTTTCATTGTTTCAAGATGTTGAAGGATGCCCAGAACTTCACAGGTGGAACAAAATAACAGTAAGAAAAACACAACACTACGCTCAAATGTAAACCTACAAACTGATGCCATCTGCACAGCTGTTTTGTGAAGGTCTCTACTAACCCCATCTAGCGGGAGAACTCTCTACTACGTCTACAAATGGCAGCGCGCTCTCAGTTCGGTTTTTTTTGAGTCCCCTCTCGTATAACATTAGTTTTCTTTTTACTTATTAAGATTACAAAGATAAATTATCAATATATGAACATTGTGTATCTCAATCAATGATAACAGTTTATCATATATTTTCTATGTAATAATTAAATATGTTCAATACAGCTTTAAATATTTATGGATTGTATGTACATGTATATATGTTAGACTCAAAGACAGAAATCGCTCATTGAGCGAAAAAACTGACCACGACGCATTGTGGTTGTTTCAAAAGGCCACAAAGCGAAATTCACGTCGTGACTTTCATGATATTTGACCACTACACGTTGTGGTGATTAAGAAAAGCCATAATGCATTTTGAACGTTAGCTGATGCAACCACGATACAGGATCATACAACGCACAGTGGTTTGTAACTTTAAAATATGGATTATAGGTTCGAAACATTTTTATTTACAATTTTTAATGCCGAACAACATTAGTTCTACAAGTTTTCCTAGAAATTTAATTTTCATACTTAAAAAAATTTGAAAAAAATAAAATATATGGAGAAAAATACACATTTGTTTCTTTTGTTTTACTAAAAAGTGCTAAAGGTCTAACTACATATACTTGTAGGTGCTTGATATACTATACACAATAAAATAAAAATCAGCTGCTAAAGTTAAAAACCACTGTGTGACAGATTTATTATAGTTAAAAGCCATCACACATTCTGGATGTTATCTAATAACAAGGTGATGATAAGAAAATAAAACTTTCTTTTTCATTATGATATATTTATCTTCAATCATCTTATATACACAGATAACAAAATTATTCAACATATACAGAAATTTAACTTGGTTACTTTACAACGTTTAATTATTCGTGCATTTTATGTTCTTTGAGTGACATTTACATTTTTATCAATACAGCATCTTTTACAGTGACACATTATAAACCCTTGCTTACTTCCAGATGTTAACATGGATGCTGAGCAAAGTGTTAATAAAGTTGAGGGTACATTCTGAATATTAATAAAGTTACTATAGAAACTGTAAATTCATTATGAGCATAAAGTTGATCAAGAAGACTTTCCTTGTTTCCTAACTGATAGAGATCTGATGGATTAATGCTCATAACAGCAGCTAAAATATTTCTGGGAGCTGCACGTCCCCTATCAACATTAGGTACCCCAACTAAAACAATCAAACCAATTTCAACTGCAGAAAATTACCCTAAATTGAGAAAACTCTCCAAGCTTGAGCTCAAGCTCAAAAAAAAAAAAAAAATAAGACAAACAATTCTATGACACAGATCCCTGTACTATTATTGTGAAATAATAATCAGAACATTTCTTAATTCATTGTTTTCGAAAATTTTAATAATTAAAATGTCTTAGGATTTTTAGGCTTTATCAAAGGTATTAATTTACATCTGATACGGAGAATGCCAATGGCTCAATGGTATGAAGGTTGAGAAAAGTGAAATCCTACTCAGGTGTAATATACAGTAATACCTCAGTTTTGTTGACTTCAGTTATCGTCGGTTTTGGATTTTGCCGAATGTTTTCAGATGGATTATCAACGAAAACCGAAGTATCACTGTACAGTGTATACACATGTACTGTACCTAGCATCAATCTGCATTATTTCTTTGCTTCTGTTGTCCTATCCTAAAACCCTCCAGTTATAGGGAAAAACAAAATGGTTTTAGCTAAAACTTTTTCCAGCGAAACTTGTGGAGCGATAAGTAATAGCATCAGAACACAGGGTAGTTTTACCCTAGATTTACCCTAAATATCAGACTACCTGAAACATTACTCTCAGAGGTTGAAATTACTTTAGAAAAGGGTAATTACCCTAGAAATGGCAGCACTGGTCAAGAACGAACACAATACAAACTCCCCAAGTGTTTGCAATGTGCCCGTTGACAAGTTACAACCTATCATTTGTATCATGGTTGCATCAGCTAACGTTCAGAATGTGTTATGGCATTTCTTAATCACCACAACATGTAGTGGTCAAATATCATGAAAGCCACAATGCAAATTTCACTTTTTTGGTCATTTTGAGTTAGCCACAACATGTTGTGGCTGTTTTTACAAATGCCATGATGCGAATTTTGCTTTGTGGCCTTTTTTTCGCTCAATGAGCGATTTCGGTCTTTGAGCCTAACATATATAAACAATCCAGAAGGTGAAAGTAATAGTGGCTGAGAGTCATGGAAAACTGTGGGCACTAAAGTCATCATCCCCAGTCAATGCCAAGTATAGTTATATCTAAATTAATAACTCTGGAAACAAAGATTGGACAGATGTCTAGGTAGCATAATTGGAAACACATCTGCACGATAAACAACAGTTGCAGGTTTGAATCCTGCTCAGAGCCAATTCTTTTTTCCAGAAATTCTAAATTAAAATTAATTTAGGCCTATTATAATTATTAAAATTATCACAAGATGGCAGTCTAACCACCTATCTCTACTTGAATTACTTTACAGCTAATTATTATATTAGTCTTATTGCAACCTGATAATACAACAAATCACTTGGTATTAGTAATAAAATTCTGATTATAATAGCAAAGTTCTGTAAGTGTATTTTAATTACTAATATAAAATTTATTGTAATTTATTTACAATACAAATTGTAACTAAAATAAATAAATACNTTTTACAAATACGTGTGCCGGGCTGTGAACGGCTCACATATTTGTAAAATCTAAGTGACTCGTACAACATGGAATTCATATAAAATGGAATTATCAACAGTGTTATAGGGGGGCTGACTGTAAACATCAATCTCAGAAATATTATATTAAACACAATAAAGAATCTAATCAATCAATTTGAATATTTAGGATTCAATTTAGAATTATATCATTAAAATAAAGTGACTCAAATTGGAAATATCTTTATGTCCACATAGAAGCATACTTTGTTGATTTTGGCATATTCTTAATTTCATAATATATATTTTTTATTTATTAAAAAATTGATAAAAATCAATTTTTAAGACCAGTTTTTAATCTACATATAAGTATAGAAAAAGCAAATTGGAAAATTGAAATAAATGTGAATAGTAATAGTTAAACTGATAAATATTTATCATGCTACAATCATTAATAATACACTTTGTGAGTTACAAAACTGTAATATTTTATTAATCTTTAAGCAATATCAAATTAATGAAAATAATTAAAGCTATTTTTTAACAAATATTTTTATAGTAGTATACAAGATGAAATAGACATGTAAAACTTACACATTTGCACCGACAAAACTTCCAAAGTGATCTTGAAGAACAGAATTCAGTTTCCAAATTTTCTTACTGTATGTTTGAGGATTTAAAAATCTGACTGAACATCCATTCTGCAATGTAAATATGAATGATATTGTTGATATTATAATTAAGAATGTATACAGTCGAGTCTGCATAAGTTGACACCCCAAGGAAAAGTGGAAATATGTTGAGTTATCCAATATAATGACTAAAACAAAATTGAAAAAAACCACAAAACTACAATTAGGAAAATACAGTAGTGCTTTATACAGTACATGCAATGTATCTCTCTGACCATCCATCACTGGCACTAAAGTTGGTTTCTACTCCAAGTACCTCAGTGATTTCCATTGCTTTTTGTTTCAGGCCCCAAAACAGGAAGATTTGATGAATGAATTTTCTTTAGCCAATGTACCAGAGCATCTTTGACATCTTTGCATGGCAACTTTCTCTGGCATTTTCAAGACAGCTGCAATGAAGACCCTAGAAAAAGTTTCTTAATTTCCTCTTTTTCCTTCAGAATTCCCATCAATGTTGTTCTTGGAAGGTTTTCTTGTTTTTGTAAATTTGGCTTGCAAAGTTTTATTACATTAAAATTCAGATACAAGTTTGTATTTTTTCTTCAGCTTAAGCATTGTTAGGTTTTGGATACTCATTTCTAACAGAAATGTTAAACACTTGCTGCAAATAACACATGAATGAAAGGCGAGAAAATGCAAAATCTGATTCTGCTGTGATGTTAAGCTGTGTGGTGTGAACTCACATTTTTCAGGAGGAGAATCAACTTATCAGACGTCTAAACCTGTGGTTTTCAATCTTTTTGAAGTCGGGGAACACTAAACTTTGACATTTTTTTCCGCAGAACACTTACAATATCAGCTTTAAAGCAGGGGTGACAAACCTTTTTGATATCAAGAGCATACTAGGTTAGTATATGACATCATTGGCATTTGCTGATTACATTCCCATACAAAAATTATTTTACATTGTATTGATTTTTCTTTTACAACAATTTTTAATTGTATATTTGATTTTTTTCATGAAACACTTGAAGTGGCTTCATGAAGCATGGACCACAGATTGAGAACCATAGGTCTAAACAATTGTGGGACAGAAAAAGTATGTCGATTTATCCAGTGGTGATGAGTTAAACACTGTTGAATAAACCAGAGTTTTTTAAAATTAATGCCTATATAAATTGGCTGGGACCACAGAAAACTGACTACTTAACTGACAGTGTCTAGTTATACCTATGATGACTTATGTGGACTCAACTGTATATGGATAACAACATGACTAAATAACAATTATTACTAATATGTAAATAAACTTTGAAGGTTTTGAAGATCTTTAGAATACCAATTTTTCTGATATAAAAGTATGAACTCTTTTTTTTTTTAATCTAATGTGAAACTCTTTATCATATTTTTTTCTGTGGTTTGAAGTTTGAATCTGAATTGGTGTCTAATTGTTTTAATGTATTCACACTCCTGTATTCTGTCTTGCACATTTGTACAGTTCAAGAACTCTTCTGATAAGAGCCCTGAATGATGCCAGTTTATAGCTAATCAGGTCATAGGACATCTGCAGTATAAATAGCAAATTATAAGTTGGTTTTCTATAAATATTTGTAGTGATAGCCTCTCCTATTAGTGTGAACAACACATCCAGGAAATGCACACCAGTAGCACTTTCCTACTCTAATTTTATTTTTAATCCATATGGGTTGGTGATATCATTGATGAAGTGTTGGATCTTAGGTTGCCTTCTCCATATTATTAACATATCATTTAGGTCAGTGTTCCACTTACTTTTTCTACTTGCACACACCCATGACTCAACATAGCACACCAAAATGTTATTCCCCTCAAAAACATATGATATGATACTAGTAATAGAATTATGTAATGCCACTAACCTATTATTATTATTATTATTATTATTATTAAACAGACATCAACACCTGTGAGCAAATTTATTTTACATTTAATTTCTTAGAATATGTAAAAAATGCATGGCTTGTAATAAAGAATAAACAAACATCATCTTATTTCATCAGTGCTATGGCAGAGAATGAAATACAAGCATAAGAAACACAGCAACTGTGATAAAAATATATAAATAAACCTTGATAATTCATAGAAGATGTAAAAGTTCACGTCACACCTTTCACATGGCGACGGCACACCAGTTGCAGAACACTGATCTAGGTATCTTGTGTATAGTGCAATGCTTTAGTCATATTTAGGTAAAGTAATGGTTTCCAAAGATCTGAGTACCATTTCACAGAATATCCCTAACAGGGAGCTTCCCACGGGGACCCCTCTATTTTCATGTATAGTACATAGTGCTGTTGATTAAGAAAAATGAGGAATATATCACCAAGTGCGCTAACTCCAGCATTTCAGTATGTAATTTTACAAAATCTCTCAGCTTCCTCAATAGAAAATCCCTTAGGTGGCAGAAACAGGGCTCTAATCTGACTGAAGGGTACACATTGTTTGGAAGTTGAGTATTGTAATATATTCTTCACCATTTAGCTTTAATTGTTGGAGTTTCTGAATGAGCTTTAATGGTTGTGTAATGCTGTATTCATAAATGGTGACAAAGGTGTTGAAAGTGCATTCCAGGGTGATTGTAAGGGAACAGCACTTGTCCACTACTGTCCTTATGCTCCTCTTTGATTTGTGGACTTTTGCAAACCCAAAAGCCTTGGGATAGATGAAAGATGACTATTGCTTTTTTCCATTTTGAGATTTCATGCTAGAGCCATAGATGCGAATCACTTAATTAACTCCCATGTCTGACTCGAACAAGATTAAAAGGACGTAACACTTGTGGCCAAGTCTCATTCAACAATTATTAAATAATCATTTCCCCTGAAACGTTCATGGAATGACTCGCGAATGTCAACCAACAGCTGTTCTCAAGGTCAAACAGTTGTAAACACCATACTACTACATGTCTCATTGCAGGTTGTGTTACATGAAGAAAGAAAGAAAAAAAAAAATACAAATTTAGGATTCATAAAGCAATATTTTATAACTAAAAGCATTTATTTCAAATTATTATATATTTTTGTAGTAGTTTTCCTATATAATGCATTTTGGGAAGGATGCCATTTAGGAAGCACTTTGTACATATTGATAGAAATAGAATCAAATACAGTAGAGCGTCGATTTTCTGAATCAATTGGGGACTGGGGTTGTCCGGATAACTGATTTACGTACGAAAAAATAGTTTAACGTATCCGATGTCGAAATTTTTATCCGTTGCGTGTCGCTTTGCATTGAATTTTTGTCGATGTTAAGCCTAACAAAGACTATTGTATCGTTAAAAATTATTTTTGTATTTTGTACAAACAAAATAAATATATTGAAAAATATAAAAATAATAAAAAATTATACTTCAGATGTTAATTTAGTATCAAAAATGTAAAATATTTGAGTAGCCCAAGACATAGCCAAAGATTGAAGCGCCACAACACTGGCAAAAATTTAAATTTGCCAACTGGAATTCTTTCGGATGATTGACTTTCGGAAAATCGACACTCTACTGTATTAATATTTATAATACAGTATTTCAAACATCTACAAATCAAAATTCATGTGAAGTACTAATTATTCCACCAAAGTGTACATCTATATGCCAACCTTTAGATGTTGGATTTCATAGACAAGTAAAACTTTTAGCTAAAGAAATTTTAAATGCTATACAATTATTCTGTAATGATTCTTCGATGAAATTGTTTTGGACAACTAGAAACGGCATTATAAAATTACATTCGATTCTTTATCATCAATTATCTGCGCCAATATTTAATAATTTGATTAAACATGCATGGTTTGCTTCTGGACTCATAAATGAAAAGTGTCAATTCTTAAATGTAAAACAAGTTTGTTTTTCTTTTTTAAACACTGACAGTTTAAATTGTGTTGAGAGTAATTGCCAAAATCTTCGATTTGTTAAATGTGCACGATGCCAGCAAGTTCTTTGTTTATTTTGCTTTGTTGAAAAATATCATGTAAATAGTTGCCCATTTAATAATTTGTGAATATTAGATAACTTTTATTTTTTTGTTTTATTTTATTTTTTTTTATTTCTCAAAAGACACTGTGGCCAGGTTGGCCTTTTACAAGCATCTTACAGCAAAAAACAACAAACAAAACAAAGCCAAAAATAATAATAATAATAATAA